TGATAAAGAAGTGGGTATACGCCGTATACCTGCGTATACCCTCCACTACACCACTGGATACATTCATATAAAACACCCGCGCCGTGTTATGATTTTGAAACGTGCAGTGCTCATGTTTATTCAACTTGGTCAAACGGCACAAATAAATCAATGTATGGGAAACACTGGTAATGTATATCGAAATATCGGAAATGTGTTTAAAAATCATATCACCGTTATTGAAAAAAATTATATCGCGATACATATTGATATTTAATTATTGTCCAGCCCTACGTCAAAATCTCATCGGCAATGAATCGCCTGCGATTTTGAACGCGATTTTGTGTAGCTTGTCAGTGAACTACGGCTCTGTGTAGTAAATGCCGCTCCATCTGAAAGCACGTGCTGGAGATTTACTACTAATCACAGGAGTGGCTTTACTGACGAGATGCGCATGAAAAATCGCATTTGATTTTTTGCACAGCCCTATGTCATGTATATGAATGAAACAGCTTCTTTTAAACCACACAGTATCATTATTTCTGTTACAAACATTCAAATAATCACAGAAGTACTCGGATAAAAGTTTCGGGTATAAACTAAATGTGTACGGTAACGATTAAAATAGAGTAAATCACCTTTTGACACTTCAAATAAAGATTTATCGATTACATTGTTATGCCAGTAGCTGGCAAAAAGGGGCTGTTAAAAATGTATTTGTCTTTGAATCATTCAAGAGATTAGTTACTTCAAAAACGCTGATTCATCTAGTAATGAAACAAGTAAATATTGAGTGACAAGAGTCATTGAATCATTCATTCATAAATTACATGTGATTTTGTTTAGTTGTCTAATGTTTTTTTCTTCAGAATCATGAGAAAACCACAATCACCATTAAAAAAAGAAGAAAAAAAAAACAGCTCTATTTTGCACACAAACAGCTCTTAGGCGAGTCCAGTTTTTATGTAGCCTGCTGATTTTTGATCAAGGTATTCAGCTTCAACTAAATGTTTGATATCTAAATGTTTGACTTCATTTTTTAATCACATTGGAATTGAAACTGGGAATCGAAAAGCAGAATCGGAATTGATCAAATTCAAACGGTACCAACCCTAAATATGAATCTGCTTTGTGTGCCAGTAATGTACTGAAGTGTAACAATAACAATGCATATGACAAAATCAGAACACACACATTATAATAAACCAGGCAACATGGTCTAAATAAGAGATTTAGGCACCATCTCGCAAACAAAACTCATCGTTTATATTACAATAAAGGTAAATATATATATATATTTTTTTTTTCTTCTACAGTTTATCCTAAATTAATTTATGAAGTATTAAGAAAGGCAAACACAGTCTGGGAAACTCCCCACAGGGCAGGTGAGCTAAGAGGAACTAGACAGTTGCAAAAATTATCATTAAAACTTCAGAAACATGTTAGCAAAATCTCAGTTTGCTGATTACTTAAAGCATGGTAATTCTTTTTTGGAGCTATTGAACAGCTAGTGCACATGCTCTAATATATAAGGTTGTGTTGTTCATGCAGGAAACATGTCTAAATCTGTGACATTTCTTTCTCTGTCTTCATCACATCATTTTTTATCCCCTCTAATATAAAAAAAAGTGAACATTTTGGCAAATCTGTGCTCATTTAATCTCTTTAACATCTTGTTTTTTTAGTCTAGACTTATAATGATTCAACAGGTCAAGTTACAGTAACTTGGCTGGAAAGACTAATGGTACCCTAAAGTAGTTTTAGCCCTTAACCCATTTAATTAATCTGGAAAGGGAAAAAATGTAAGGCAGAAGGATTAGTTTATGATCAAATTACTTGGCTTAGATTACACTGATGCAAATGTTTAAACATTTTTTGAAAGAAAAAAAAAAAGCTTCTTTGTTTACGTGAGCTATTTCTAAGTAAAACAAACAGCAGAACATTCAGCTGATTATATTTAAATTCTTTCCACAGTGTTCACTTTGAGAGGGAAAAAGGAAAGGAGGCGCAGGCAAACAACAGAGTGTGCACGGAATAAAAAGAAATAGACCAAGTCAAGTGGAAAGAGAAGTTAGTACCCTAATTAATGAACCCCAGTGTGTTTTTCTCTCCCTCTGATCATTGGAAGGGAACATGGCGAGAGTGTACAGCAGGCTCAGCTCATTACCGCTGCCTACTACTGGAGCGGAACATTCCAGAGAACAGCATTGGTTTGTGTCGGAGACGGGACGCCTGAGCTCACTCATTCCAGAGCCGGTGGGAGCCAGAGCAATAGCCGGCCCACTAAACCAAGAGACTGCCACTCCATGGGGAGCCTCTGATTAGGGCCAGGCTGATGAACTTTACCAACAAAACTCTTTCCTGCTTCTTTATCTGTTTTCTGGCAAATCTCTAATTCTACTCTAAACTCACAGTCTCTGGTTGGGTGCTCTTGAAAAACCAAGATCCCGGACGAACCCCCAACCAAAGCTGAATCTAGTGTCATCTTGTGCCCTAACCTTTCATACCCCAAAAATCTGATTTCAGACAGCTAAGGCCATTTTGTTTTGGTGCAGATGTGTTGATGTAAACAGAATTTCTCCATTTTGAGGGACTCCACCTAAAGTTTCATGCTAAAGCTCTCAGACAGTTGTGTAATAGTAACTTTCTTTTTTAAAAGTGCTGGGCGATAGTTTACTGTGCCAACCCAGCCCTGCAAGCCCAGTAAATTAGAGGGCAGAGAATTCCTCTTCTCTCCAAACTCTCAACACAAACTTCCACCGGAAGAACACCCACGGAACAGCACGTCTTTTCTCCTTCATCCATTTGCTTCCTTTCATTTACAAACAACAGAGCGTTTCACTATAAAGCGGCCACTACAAGATCACCACAACAAACCAAAACGGGTGTTTGTGACCGTATGCAACACACAAACTCTGACACAAATCACTGTGCTGTGACTCAAACACACATAAACAAGATTACTGACTTTGATTAATGCAACTCAAACTGTCAATGACATGTCCCTCTATGAAAATACCACTGATGCTTTGCAATATACTCTAACTTCACTGCAAACCAGACAAACCGATGACCTGTCTGGAGCGGCTAAGAGTAAAATCACTGGTCAGATCCTAAGGGACGAACAGCCATAATGATTTCCCCTCTAATTTAAGTAATTGATGTAATTATGGACTTAAACAACTTTATTTTCACAAGGTCAGTTACAGTTTTTTAGTATTTCAGTGGCTGACTAGAACTAGCAAAAAACTTTCAAGAGAAAGCACTAAAAAAAGGCTTTATGAATAAAGGAACCAGATATGATTTGAAAACATCATTATCTACCATGAGCTTTATGTTCTGTGAAAATTAGTTTTAAGATTCGAATGAAATTACAGAAATACATCTTAACAAAAGGGTAACTCTCCTTAAGCTACAATATGGGTCTTCATTAGGAAACATATTTTCAGCAAACGTTCTTGAACAAACTGCCTAAAGATGTTCATATTTAATTGACTTGCTCACATTTCTACACCGTCTTGCAACAAGTCTGGGTCAAGTCTGCGCATGTAGTCGCCAGCCAGCATGTCGCCATTCACAAACCGCTCTGCTCCTCCTTCACGTTCTTCAAACTGGTGAAAAGGTGGAAACTATCTGTGAATGTCTGTTTCTTTGAAATGACAATGGTCACTTAAGAGCAGAGAGAGTTTTTAAAGGCTGAACTGAAAGAAAGTATGTCTGTAACTGTAGTATATGTAACTGGGTAAATGTAAAGGGTATAGCAATGATCAGAAAGTTCTAGACTTCACTACACAGTCCGAGAATGCAGAGGGGGGTTACTTTGCAGTACCCTGAAATTATCTAGTGAGTGATGAGGACGAAAAGACGGAGTGACACTGTGAGGTGGGTACAGAATTACTTTGCCATGTACAAAGTGACAGACCATAAGATCTGAAGTACAACAACATTCAAGAATGTTAAATGATAAATATATGAATGCATATGTATGTATATATGTGTGTGTATACATATGCATCATTCAACACTCTTGAACATTGTTGTGCTTGTGCAGATCTTATATATATATATATATAAGACCAACACAGCTGTGTTTAGTTTCTGAATGAATCCGCGTTTTGAACGAATCGTGTGAACCAATAGGCTTGTTCGACTTCATGTGGTGCCGCAAAGATCGGCTGCCGCCTGACAAAAGCAATGCTTTAGATCCACCGGTTCACATTTACAACTGCGTGTTCTGCATGACATTGTTGTACCATTTAAGACTTTGTAAGGCCTTAAATCTGAAACAGACTTCATGGAGGATCCCTTTAGTGATGACGGTCGAAATGGCCGGTATTGTGCTCTTCTGTGCCTACGCTGCGCGATTGTGCCGTTGTGATTTAATGTGCTGTGTAACGTCATTTTCCCCATCATGTCTGATATTAAAATCAGTACGACACACTTTGCAAAAGGCGTGTGCATTAACTTCTCCCATTTCTAGAAGTGACGCTTGTTTTTTCCGCACTTCTACCTGCGCAGATATCAACAGCGCCACTGGGTTGTAGGTTGCCAAGTTGAGCTCACAAATGGGTTGAAATTTGTATATGTCGATTGTGTGAGAAGGATGCATTTCATACAAGATCTGGCAACTGAACAATTTTGGAATATGTTGACGTGATTATTCGTATAATGAGGTTTGGGCCATACAAATTAAGGGAGTTTTACCGGAGGCGAATGTAGCAAACATATAATTTATACGTCCAGTGGGATTTTTTTATAGAAAGATTAAAAATATGGGAGAAATATGGGAAAATATTTAAACGGGATGACAGCAGGATAGAATGGTAAAATACAGGAGAATCCCGGGAAAAACGGGAGGGTTGACAGGTATGGCACTAGTCTAACCTACTAGACTTCTTTACGTAGGCCTAATGTATGCGTGCACTCTGTAAGTGTGTTTTGTTTGATTTTTGCAATATACTCGATAATGTCAAATCGCACATCGTTAAAACAACAATTACAATATTATCGCAAACGATATATATCACACACCCCTATAACAAAGGCTATATCACAAATAAAGGCAGTTATTATTGTTTTTGGTATTGACATTTTCAAGTTAGGCTACTTGTCCGATTGGGCAAGTAAATTTCTCTTTCACTTGCCCGTCCAAAACATTCACTTGTCCTGGACAAGCGGACAAGCGTTAATGTCGAGCACTGTGTTTATATGCTGAACTTTATTCTTGAACAGATGACGCTGTATTAAGCAGTATATAAAAAGTGTTTCTGTTGCTCATAGAAACGTTACTGTGTATTTGACAAATATTGGATTTAATTAACTTTATCTGTGATAAGACTATGCAAACACCATGAGAGCGTCACTACCGGGAGCAGAAAGTGTCCGACTTGACGTCTCCACTTTTAATTCCACCCCGACTGCAAGCGGTTGCTCTCGCCAGCCGGTGGCAAGCTAGTATAGTTAATCTCGAACAAGCCTAATGATTCAGTAGCCCATTCACAGAGAGCCGTTTACTGAATTCCTGAATGAATCAGCCGTTTGAACGAATCGACTCATAAAGACATTTACCACCATCTGCTGGTAGTTTTAGTTCTTTAGAGCAGGGGTTTTCAACCTTTTAGGACATGCGCCCCCTCCCAAGTTTGTCTAATTTCACTTGCGCCCCCCCAACATCCCAACTCTGCTCTCAACTGTCAACTCTCAACTGTCGACTAGCAGTGGGAGGCAGATTGCCCCCTAGTGGATGGCTAAAGATTTGTTAACTCATATT